GGAATGCAGTCAGTTGGTAGCAGATTGTCTAGTCAGAGTCAGTCATCGCATTATGCTTATGGTCAACATACTGGAAGTGGAAGAATCATGCCTAGAAGTGGTTCGGATCAACATTTGCCACGAGTGGATTATACGAGCATCACCACTCCAGCTCGACATACTCTTCTTAGATCCAGTTTAAAGTCAGGTCCGTTATTTCTCACGGGAATCGTCTAAACACTTTTTTTCAGAATAAAATTTGATTCTTGCAACGTTTTTTCTTTTTTTCAATAGGAACATCTGCATTAAGATATAATACCAGATACAGCACTCAGGGAGACACCACGTCGACTACCCAAAGACAAGGTCAATTTGGCACTCTGACAAGGAGGCATCGGCCATCATTGGACTACGCTTCTGACACTGAAGCAACCTGTTCAAGTTCACCAAAATCGGCGTATTATTACTACAGACACAATATGAACAATCCACCTCAAAGTAGCGCTGTCTCACATCTTGCCACCTTGTCGAGGTCACAGATTGGTCAGAGTTCCTCAGGTTTGTTCATCGATGTTGCTATTAATAAAGTCTCTTCCTTCTTTGTATCTCGAAAAGATTTCACAAGTGAGGTTATCCTTTCCGTAGGCTTGAGATCAAATTCGTTGCCACGTAGTGGCAGGACATTGCCTCAACAACCAGGTCTCAGGTCTGGACTTAGCACAGTAGCATCTGGACTAATAGATCAAGAAGATAGCGATGGAGCACTATCAGCACCAGAGCTACCTTCCATTAGACGCGATAGAGGTTAGTTTGAACTTCGGATGGTATATGAATTGTAGAGTTTTAAGTATACTGGAAATTGCGAATTTTGCTAATTGTAACGACAGGAAGAATACCATCATCACCTAGTGTGTTCACATCAGATGAGTACCGAGCATGGTTGAGTCGAACGCCGAGTACCAGTGCATTGTACGAGCAGATCAGAGCCACTACGACTAGGCCACCACGTTACACTTACAGCGCAGAGAATATCCATGCAGCTGCAAATCAAGTAAGTGATACATATATTAGAAATACTTTGCTGAACGTTTGAAATTACTTTCTTACTTTTTATGAATCTTTTGAAAAATTTCCCTACTTAGGGTGAATATGGAAGCTATGGGGCGTACAGGCCACTTTCCAGCACATTAGATCGTCTGTCAACGAGATCAGCCTCTGCACAACAAGTGAATCTTGCCAACCTGAGGGCATCGACAGCAATCAGCTCAACGTGCCATCGTGGAACAGCAAATCCACGACCAGCCTCTGTTGCATCTAGTGCTCGTACATCTTTAACGAGTCAGAAACCATCATTGAGTAGCTCCACTACCCAAAGAGCAACGTCAGTCAGAAGAATCAGGAACCTTCTGGACTTGGAGTCCACGCGGAGTATACCTACCCCTACGCCTACCAGAACTCAGGATCAAAGACTGCTAGATATTAATCCTGCAGGTAACTGATAGAAATTGTTAATATTTCTTTTGACGTCAAATCTAAAAATTCTAATTGTATCATGTTGTTCCTTTTCTTTTTTATTAGAGTTCCTTAAGTATAAGATAGAAAAGCCTCCGACTGTGGGAACTCCAAACTCGACTAGCTCTCTTTTGAGCTCGCTTGGGGAAACCAGTAGTGGCGATTTGGCCGGTGGGGTTAGTGGGCTGCTGTGGGTCCATCTTCTGGCTGGGCGTGGTCTCCGTTCGACAACATCTTCCTCAGCGGCCACTACACCATCCACACCATCAGGTCAGCCTAATTTAGGTACGTTCTGAAAACTGCACATTCCTTACACATTACTTCTTCACTGCACAATCTTTGCATATTAACTTAATCTCTGAAGATATACTTAAACTCTATGTTTAAACTTTATTTTCCAATTATACTTATTCCTATTATTTAAAACTCTTGAATGTTAGAAAACATTTGACAGTGTATAATTACATTGTTACAGTGTCTAATTACATTGTTCAACACGAATTTTATTCAGTAATATCTATTAGGTAATTCTTGTAGAGTTTATTTTCCAGAACACGAATCAGTAATCGAAATTGCCCTATCACCCTTACTTTTGGAAAATTGTGAGTTTTCCTAAAAAATTCCAGAGAATGAAATTTTGCAGTCTTTACATGAATATTACACATTATACATAGTCATTGCTGGAAATTTTAATTATTCTACTTACTTTGCTTTAATTACCTTACTTACCTTAATTCATCTTTATTTACATATTACTTCAACAGATATTGTCCACTCATATTTTTCAAAGTTCTAAAAGGAACTTTGAAAGTTTACAAGAGATAGGACATTCTTAAACTTATTACTAAATCATTGCTGATTTATATATAATCTATAATTAACTTGTAACTAATTAATGTCTAATTTATAACTAACTTACAACTAACTTATAACGAATATTTTAACTTTGGTGCATAGCTCTTAGCTTGGTATCGTTTTCCAAAAATTATTCTTTGAAAAACGATACCAATTACCAGGTCTTACCACGTGGAGGTGGCTACGCATCGAGACCCGGACATGCGCCCTAGTGGCGCAACCTACTGGCGCTATCCGTATCAAATATATCCTAACCTAACTTGGAGCGAAAGAAGTTAAAGTGAAATCTATTGACACTTTATTATATTTCGTGTCTTACAAAGGAGACTTCGATTCGGTATACTGAAACTCTACTGTCGCAACGCTAAGATATTTCATTTCAACAGACTTTAATATTTCTAAGTTCCCATAAAAATAGGGAACGGAATATCAAGTACGCGAACAAGTAAAAAATCGCGATGCGCCCGAACGAGTTCGCGATTATTCGAAAGACCGACTAGCCTACGAGACGTACTCTCGTGTACAAGACAACTTCATGCCCCGGCACCCTCCCGATCGAACCTAGCCCACCCAGCCACCACAGACCCTGCCATGACTTACTCACGAACGAGAGCGATCGACGAACCAACGAAACATCCAAAATCAAGTCGAGGGTCCCTAGCGAGGCCCTGTAGCCGGTCACGCAGGCCCCTGCCACATGGGGGAGAAATTAATCATCCCATGGGGTCTGACCGCAGACCCATATGCAATGTCACGGCTACAGAGCCCATACCCCGGTCGTGCACGCGCTGGTGCCCAGGACGACTAGGGTCGACAGACCCTCGAATTGACCCAGATGAGTGCCAGCCCGCCGACCACTCTAGAACCGATGCGTGACAAGGGTGGCAGTGGCGAGGGTGAGTGTCGGAACGAGTCGTTTGAATGACTTACGAGACGTCGCGCAGGCTAGTCGGTACTTAAGAACAATCGCGATTATCGCGAGAACAATTATGTTCTATTTGATAAACGAGGGGGATAGAAGAAGAAGAAAACTATTCGTTCCAAATTAGGTAGGTTACCTTTGTACAGACAGTACGCACAAGATACTTAGACTAGGAATCTATCTTACTACTTACAACTACATAGGTCTAAACGTACGCATCCCGCGTCGTCCATTGATATGTCGCAAATTAAATCTTGAGGAAACTTGAGAATCTTGAGAAACCTAAAAACTGAAACAGAATATATTATTGTTAATATAAACCTAAAAGGAAAGGGATTAGTACGAGAAATGAAAACGAAAAAATAGAAACCATGAAGGTTAACTAAGTGGAACGAGCAAGCCACCGATGAGACAGAAAATAACCAACGATGAGACAAACTAACCAACGACGAAACATTTGAATATTATACGAAATATTCAAATGTTTGAATGAAAATGAATAGAAACGAAAAAATAAATTGTGGAAAGAGAAGAATAATTAAAATGTAATAAAAAAAATTTAATTAGAATATGAAAAAAAATATAATTAGAACCTGAAATAAAAATAATTGGTACCTAAAAAAAAGTAGCCAAAATCCAACGATGAGAAATAAACATCCCAACAATGAGAAATAAATATACCAACGACGAGACATTCGAATATTGTACAAAATATTCGAATACTCGAATAAAAATAAATAGAAACCAAAAAAGAAAATTTGAGAAAAGAAAAAATAATTAAAACCTGAAAAATTGAAAAAATAATTAATACCTGTAAACACACAAAAAAATTAATTCTTGAAAACAACAAAAATTAGTAAATGGTTTAATGAGGTGGGGCGTGGGTGGGGTGGCCAGCCCCAACCTCACTTCGGCCCACCACCCCTCGCGCACTACGAAAATTTATATATTACGCTCGCTAAACCGAACGGACAAATGACTCCTTTCACTTTTATCATTAATTTACGTTGTGAATAATTTGTTATTAATAATAAATTTGAAGATTTATATATTTTTATAAACTATAAGTACTTTCGCACTTCCATAGGATAAATTTCCATAATACATATATGTATGTAAAAATATTTTATTTCCTCTGTATTTTTTCCCAAAATGAAACATTACTTCATTTCATTTATTTTTTAACAACTTTATATTAAAATATCATTCGTATTTATGTATCGAATTAGCGAAACTATTTCAATTACTGATTCGTGTTCAAGAAAGTAAATTCTACAAGAATCACATAATTGATATTGCAGATTAGAGAAAAAGTTAAAATTTGTCAGACACTATTGTCAAGTTATTTCTTTAACGTATCGTAAAGTTAATTTAAGACTTGGAGATGAAAGGTTCATTATAAGAAATAACAAAATGTTATTTTTCAAACACTACAATAGCTAGTTGCGGCTTGAGAGACCTCTACTGCGTGCTGGAGTGCGATAGGGTGCACAAGGCGAGAACAGTGATGCGAACCGGTGATTTGATGTTTGATTGGGATGAAACCTTCGAGCTGGACCTCGTTGGCAACCGGCAGTTAGACCTACTAGTCTATTCCTGGGATCCACAATATAGGCACAAGCTCTGCTATAAAGGATCTGTACATTTGGCAACCCTTTTAAAGGAGTCACCAGTACATCAGTTAGCTGTCAAAGTCGAACCACGCGGTACAATTTATCTAAGACTACGATACACTGATGCTCAGCAGACATTCCGAAGAAGAGGACTTCCGGTCATATCCCTAGCCACCAGAGTGGCGCCGCTCTTTGGAGTTGACTTGGATACAGTGGTGAGTCAAATTTTCATGGTTGAATTAGATTAAATTTTTAAAATCTGCGATTAAGAATATTTAAAACGCTATCTTTTTGAGTAGGTGAGCCGAGAGAGCAAGACTGGTGGAGTTCCTGGAGGTGTTTCTACGGCCCTAGCAATGGGCTTTCCAAATGTGCCCATAATCGTGTGGCGCTGTGTCGAAGAAGTCGAAAGAAGAGGTCTTGACATTATTGGTGAGTTATATTTACTATTTATAAGCTCAAACTTCTATGTCCTTAAGTTTAAACAATTTGTCAATGCAAATTTGTGGAATTAGGTCTGTACAGGCTTTGTGGATCAGCTACGAAAAAGAGGATACTTAGGGAGGCTTTTGAAAGGAATGCTCGTTCAGTGAACTTATCGCCTGACAATGTGCCAGATATTAACGTGATTACTGGTAAATTTGTCAATCAGTATTCCTATTGTTAACAAGTTTAAAAAATACGACTGTAATAACTATGGGGATTTCTAACTATTGCTTAGGTGTACTGAAGGATTATCTACGAGAACTTCCAGAACCACTCTTCACGAAGTGCCTCTACCAAATGATGGTCGATGCACTGGCCATCTGTCTACCGGATGATCCACAGGGCAACGCGAAGCTTATGTTCAGTATACTTGACTGTTTACCAAAAGTCAATAGGGTTCGTATCTAATATCAAACTTTTCATTGGTATATTCTGAAGACAATAACTAACTGTTCTTTTAATAGTGTACGTTAATCTATCTGCTGGACCACCTTGCAATGGTGGTATCACAATGTAACAAGATGTCACCAGCAAGTCTAGCAGTTTGTTTCGGGCCAGTTTTGATGTTACATTCGGAAGAGAATGGACCACCCTTAGATTTCCAACAGCCAATAGCAGTCTTGAAGTACCTCCTCGAAATTTGGCCCGTTAAGTCAGGTAATGTCGTCATTTCTAACAATTGACTACTCAAAACACCCCTTCGTAGTTCAATGTAGTATATTTATACAACTTTTAAAAATTTTGTTGTACCCGATGAAACAACCGAACCAGTAAAATAAGAGCCGAATAATCAATCGCTCATTTCACAGACAGTTCGGAAGATTTCTTCAGTCGCTTCAGCGCTTCCTCGAGTTACGCCAACAACCGAACACAACAACAGTCAACACCAACTGCAGCAGCAGCAGGTGCAACAGCAAATGCAGCAACAGGTGCAACAGCAAATGCAGGGAACATTGGGACGCACAGGGCTGCCCTGGCAGCCTCAACACTCACTTCATCAACCGCCCCCAACTACGGCACCATCCGTAGCCCTCGCGGCCTCCACTCGTCCTGCACCACCGGTCAAGCCCCGACAGGTTAGCGTTCTTTTTAAAGCTCTCGCTTTATCTTCGCAACATTCATTCCAATCTTTCGCCTCTTTTGCTGCCGCTTCCTCTGCCTATGCACTTGCTGTAACTTAACTGTTATACTACTGATAACTTAAATAAGTTAAGAAGTATCCTAAAATTGTCAGAAAGAATTTAATTGGATTGTTACAGTTTCGAATTACTGCCATGTGTAGTAAAATATTTAAGGAATTCTGTAATTATAATATTCTCCAGATAAGTGATTCATTTGGAATTATTTAATCAGGATAAATGTAGTCACTTTATTTGTGAACATCTATAAGTACCATCATTCAATTTTTGTATGTTTGGTAAAAATTCATGTAATCCGAAGTGGTACAGAGAATGGGCGAAAGAAAGGTTAAAGAATTAAGAAGTCAGAACTTTTCTGGTTTTATTGCCTTCTTTTACGAATATCAATTAAGAAGTGTATTGTGTTAATTTTAAATGAAAAAAGGCCAGGAAAGTTGAATAAGATGCTTCAAAAGAAAAAGAAGAAGAATTGGACAGAAGTCTCGACTCGCTCTCTGCTTTTTTGTCCGTGTCTCACGTATGTGCATTATCTGAAGCGTGTGTGAACAGCATGATAGGCAAAGTAAAAACTTTGTACTCTTTCTTTATTTCCGCTTCGCAAAACAAACTCTATCGCGCTTTCATAATCTCAAATCACTTATTCGCCAATCAGTGAGACGTTCGTTCCATTCACTTACTCATAATCATTCATATACGTTCATTTCATTCCTTTACTCGTGTCGATTTCAGGTTAACTCTCGAGAATCGTCGGTCATTGCAAATTGTTCGCTTTAAAAGTTATTTTCTCTGCGTCATCAAAATAAGAAATATATGTACAAATAGATATAAAGAAGAAAAATGATTATGAGTGGCAAACAATTTGCAAGTCAATCACATCGTAATATGTCCGTGTAAATACAACCTCAAATGCCAGAAACGCCTCCGTGCATGTCTCGATGTTAGTTCTGTACATTTACTTGGGTGTTTTACTGGTCGAACGGGTCGCTTTTGATTTTTCCGTTTCTCTTTGCGCCAGTCTTTCAACATCTTTCCATTATGGTGACGATTTACGTTGTCTTCTTTATCTTTTTTCGTTTGGGCACGTATTCTTCAGAGCAAACGCAAATTGCCGGCTCTACCAAACCGCTGACAGCACAGAGACGCCGCTTCTTGCACAGGTATTATCGTTATTATCGTTTTCATTCGCGTGTGTTACATCAGCCTTTAGTTATCGTTCTATCACATGCATGGCCAAAATATCAATTATATATATTAAAGTCAAGTAATCATATTCATTTATCCGTTACCTTTCATCAATTTCACAGAGTGGTTTTAAATGAGTAATGATTACAATATGTATCAAAAATTCTGTGGTACAAGGAATTATGTAAATACTTTTAATCAATTGCAAAGATAGACCAACACATGGCGGATCAAAGTTCTATAATGCAAATATTTATAAAATATTATAGAATTGTTTTCCTTTAAGAATCACTTATGTTTTATATTCAAAAGAGAATAAACCAAGTGTGTAAGTAAAGCAGGCTTGTTATGCCATCTGAAATAATTATCTTTAATATATTATAGTATATAATTAGTCTTTAATATATTTAATATAGTAAAGACAGAATACTTTGACGCTGCTGTGTTTTCCCATTGAATAATATAAAAATTCATTAAGTCTTTAAATATACATTCATATGCAATTAAAACACAAAGTGGAGGGAAGATGTAGAAAATGTGATTTCTCTTAGGAATAACATTATTTTAATTAACCAACCACTCAACTGTTGAAAATGCTTTAGTCACCAATAGTCTGCAGGATCATTGGTACTCCTAGCATGCATTTATTGCACATGCTGTTTCTTGAATCCAGCCTGATATGACATTGTAAATAAAAAAATTAATAAAACTTGATATCCTTTGTTTTATTTACAATAATATTTAATGGTTTAATTTGTTCAAACTGGAATCAAGAACAGAATGAAACCTCAAAGATCCTTACTCCATGAACATTTCAATGTTATCCTTTCAATTCTGAAGTATACATCTAATATATGAAACATAGTACCTAAGATGAGGTATCTAAGTTATCTTTAATCTTCTTTCAAATATATCAATACGTTTAACAAAATTTAGTCATATAGATGCCTCATTATAGACAGGTGTACACATTTAATTTCATAGCTATTAGGAACATACCCTTGCTCATTAAAAAGCTTCACTATTTGTATGTGGCATAGCCTCAGCAATCCTTCAGTGAAACCTTCATCATAGAAATACCATATTCAACTTGCACATAACCATACAACAAGCTCATTCATCATTTAATTCTTCGTTCACCAATTTAAACAAACATATTTCTTCATCATTCAGTCTAAATTTGATATCTAGAATCATCACATATAGAATATGAAGAGTTAATATCTCGCAAACACAGCCTGGTAGAATCCAAAAAGTGTATGATTAATGAAAAATGACGCTGGTGATACGGCGTTTCTGTTTATATAGGTGATAGTCTCGTCTCCCGGTTCACCTAGCAGCGAGGAGTCGGAAGCCTCGCCGGAGCCGATTAATAAGAGTCTTCTGGGTGGCCTGGGACTCGAAAAGAACAACGATGAGGCCACAGCGAACTCGACTGGCCCAGGAACAGAGCAAATCACGCCGACCAGCAGCGTCGACACCGAGGAGGGAAATATACCACATCCGGAAGAGGGTGAAAAGGGTGTCGAGGGTGACGCAGAGGCCAGCGATGACGATCGACATCAGCATGTACCTAAGACGCATTAGAGTCTCGATGAATACGCGGATTAAATCGGGGGTGTGTGTCCTGGATAGTTTGAACATCTTCGTTTCATTGATAGGTTGAAAAGTTTCATTTTTTTAAGAAGATGAAAATTGCGAAGAAATAATATTGGGCATCGAACAATGAATACTTTAGGAGGTTAGGATCTGTTTAACCGGAAGATGATCACGATTGAATTATGTAATTGAGATCGATTGTAATTTAGTCGTCAATTGTTGACTGTTGAACTGAACTGTGGACAGGCTTAAAATCTGTTTACAGTTCCTATAAATTGACTTATTTTCGAAAAATGAAATTTTCGTTATGCCGGAATCTTGCCCAATATTGCAAAGTATAGATATTTTAAGAGACTAATGGTGAAATTTGTAATAAAGAGATAATGGATTTTGAAGCCTGTCAGGACAGGTATTTATCAGTTAATTCGAAGATTTTTGTTCACAAGCGTTCACAAGTATATTTACTTTAAACTGTTTAAAAAAGGAAGAATGAGGTTAAGTTCTTGAGGTATTGCTTATCACCCTGAATTGTATTGAATGATAAGCAGGTGTGTTAAAAATCTATTTTTTATTTTAACCCATGATTCTCGTGGTGTGTTAAAGAAAGCTGAAGAAAAGAAGAGATATATTCTATTTCTGATTTCTCAATGTTATTTAACGCGTTGACTGCTTTAACTTAGAAATCTAATGTGGCATCGTGAAACGGTCTTTCAATTTTGAATGCGTATGACCTGTTCACAGAGCAGCAAGAAAGTTTATGCAAAGGACTTAAGTCTGATCAGTGCTATATTATCTAGTCAAATGATTTTTCCTTCGAGAATGTTATTATTGTACTGTTGGCTATGGTAGGGAAAATTGTGTTTTGAAATATTTATAAATGTTTTTGTGGCAGTCAGCGCGTCAAATCGCACACATATTCCTCTGAGAATATTGCGCTTAAATAATGTGATTTTATACGAATTGAGGCTGAATTTTGTCGCCAGATGTACAATAAAAGCGATCATTGTTTCCCAGATGAAACGACGCGCATAATGGGACCACTGCGAATATTCGTTACAAAACCTTCGCGAAGAAACGAGATCGAAATGCTAAAATTGACGATCTGACGACTGATTGAAAGCCTTATACAAGTTTTTCGTACGAATTTGTTTTCGTATCGTTCATCAGATACCTGTGAAAATAACACACCAAAGAAGAAATCTACTAATCAAAGTTATGCTGATATTTGTAAGAAGATTTCACTCTTCAGCTACGAAATGTATTATGATTTCACAATTACCAAAAGACTGTAACGATGTGTACTGACAAGCAGGTTCCTAGTTTAAAATTCCTTGCACAAAATTTGATTCCTAAATGTTTTAGGTCTCTCATTCGTTCAAGAAGGAATGGGTTACCGTTGCAAAAGGGGACAATTATCTCTTTCACAGCTGAAGAGTCAATCACTGTAAGCTTTCGAACTTTTCTTCAAGCACAAATGCCATGGAGGAAAATTTTCAGCCATCTGAACTTCTTTTCTATTCTACATTGAGATCCGCCATATCTTCTTTCTCAACCTAAAGTTGATCAAGAGTAGAACCACCAGATGAGAAGATAATAGAGAAAGGAAGACAATATACGAATATACTTGAGTGACAGTTGAGTATCTCGAATCATTATCTGCGTCCTAAACTACTGCACAAATTTACAAACTGACTGAAGTCCAATTTGCTGAAGCAAGGAGAAAGAAAACAGAAGTCCAAATAAATTTCTACAGGTAATATCGCGATTCACCGCGCACATCCTCAGCTCAAAGAGGCTCTATCGCTTCTTCAGTCAATTTTTTAACAGAATTCATGGTATTTCCCGGCTGGTCGAGGTTGAGATCTCACACAATAGAGTTCAGGATGTTTCTTCACCGGCGAAGCTAGCTGCAAATGAAGTAAGACGATAAGAACTGATCACACTGATGCTATGGAAGATAGAAAGGAGCGACACGCGGGGAGGGCAAAAGTTGAATTAAAAAAACATAAAGGGAAGAATTAAATAAAATACATACACACACGTTGAGACATATAAGAAAATGCGAAGAAGAAAAATTACACAGACATGGCGGTCGATTTATATACAATATACTATATATATACATATTATATATACATACATAGGCTAGTCACGATATACATGTGCTTTTGATAAAAAAACTATTACTTAGAGGTTAGCTAGCCCTCGTATACAAAACACAAAGGAACTGCTGATGTACACGACACTGCGTTCACATATACGTGCACATATGTACCAGATGATTAAGAAACGATTAGAATTGGAAAAATTGAAGAAGAAAAGAAAGAAACAAGGTATAGGTGCACGCAGATGATAAAGTTATACATAATATACATAATGTTCAGCGCGGCAGGAGCCGAGGAACCGACTCCATAATTTCTTGTACATGTTGACAATAGCAAATCGATGAACAGAGAGCAAAGAAAGGAAGGATAGGTGGATTAAACATGAAGAACCGGAGGAAAAGAGGCGAAACTCACCGAGAAACGATAATAATTACAACTAAAAAGTTAATTGTAACTTATAAACGACTAAAAACATAGCCAGTATTATAATTGTGTACGTGAAGAAGTAAGCATTTGAAGACGAGTCGGGAGAGACCACCCTTTGGTCAGGGTATTCTTCGGAGTTCGTTTGTTCTACGATCTCGTCAACGGGGACACGAGTGGCTATTTCGTTATTATTATTATCATTATAATTACTTGGTTTAATATCGTCGCATATTCACGGTGGATTTAATTGAACCTCACAAACATTAGCGAGTGATGTAAGTAGATATTTCCTACTCGAGTTCATGCAAAGTTACGTAGAATCTTACAGAACTACCTTTAAGTTTAATTTCAAATTTTGTTCCTTTCATTCTCCTCGTAAAGGCTATAGTCAGGCTATACATCAACGAGGTCTTCCCCGAATCAATAAACCCAATGTTCATCATATTAAGGTTACTAGCCAGATTATAGAATATTCTATCGTACAGCCGAGTAGTCCAATGGCATTGTGATTGTGTCTTCCATCGACTCTCGTTCTATTCTTTCGCTAGAAACAGTTTCAACTATATTCATCAAAGTATTTTTCTCTTCGGAAGAATTCTGTTTCAGTAATTTCAAAGCATATTTTTGCAGTGCCTACTTTGCACTGATTCTGCTAGAAATGGCTTTTGTAACGTTACTCAAGATACCCCTCAGTTGTTTCAAAGTACCTTCTGTACCTCTAATTATTATCATCTCTGCTTGAACGTGAATCTGAACTTAAAAAACTCTCAATGCCTGCATTCGGTACAACCTCAGTCTAACAACTATCTCACTATATCTGCAAGTCCTAGTAGCAGCGATTAAAATATTTCTACCGAAGTAATTATGAGTCTCTGTGGCGCTAGTATCGCCGCTAGTGATCTCTAGCGTTATACAGCTCTTTCACAGTATTCTATAAAATATATAATTACGAATGGATACGTTCTTTTCGAACGGGGCTAAATTCTCTGAGAAATCTACCGTATGTTAATAAACATTTTTAAATATATATTTGCGGAGCATGTCATTAAATATTATTTAGAAAAATAACATTTCTCATTTCTACAAATATGAACATTAATCAGAGTTTCAGAGAAAACATTTTTCTTTACAATTAACAAGCAGAAAACTACTTCATTTAACAATCTCCAGCGAATTATAAAGCGTGAATTAGTAGCTTCTTTTAATTGAAATGTTCTTGACAATTTGAATGGTACAAAAATGTAGTAGTCAAATATTTTATTATGTACATAATGGAAACAGTTCTTTTTGTAAATTTTAACATAGGGGATTGTTGATCTCATAATAAACGTCATCTTTTAATACTATTTAAGAAAACAAGAATATTTTCAATTAAGCAAATTATTAGAATTTTCGTTAATTCTTCGTAGTAGTCCAGAGAAGATAATTTTCAAAATTCTTTGTAACCATTAAATCTCCTCACAAATGGCGAGGGATTTCATTTCCTATAAGTACAATCCTGTACCAAAGACGATGTTAAAGTACACTGTTTAGAGATATTTAATCCTTCGAAGTTTACTATTGAATTGCTTTCTCCGCTCGTGTCCTCGTGAGTGAATGCAACCTGTATAAATAGCATATGATATATTTATCGTACCAGCATTCTTCAATATGAAATATAGATCCCTGGAAGTTCACATAGTAAGACGAAATACCAAACATTCCATGTTTCCTTCTAATTTGTTCGAAATCTAATAGAGAAAGAAAAAAGAAAAAAAATGGAAGAAGGGAAGAAAATGGAAGAACGATGGAGATACACTTTGGTGAACTTCGAATTAAAATTTGGCTAAGGTAGAACTTTGGCATATCTGTTAAACAATGTTGCTACGATACTCACATATATCTATGCGCATAACCTATCTACTTGTATGTGTGTCGCATATTCCAGTGCGCCCTCTTTTTTCCGCACAGTGTTAATTTAATCGGCGGCATCTCGGCAGAGAATGTCACCGGAGGCGGTGTTTGTATTGAGTAGCTGAGAATCGAATACCATTGTATAGTTCAGTGTATCATAACTCGTGTAACCACCACCCCATTTTATCGAACCCTCGACTGTGTCACTGTCGTTCGATGTACAAGCGCGACAGAACGTCGGATACCGTCTTCTCCCTGTCATGTTCCTTTATTTCGCTCTGTACACCATGAAATTCTGCTCTTTAGTTCAAGTTCGCGATCCTTAACCTTATCTTTGTCGTAACGCGTGGCGAGTTAAGAATCACAGTGGTGTAGGTCAGGATACTTGAAATTTGAGTTACTAGCGCTCTCTATCTTCTAGAAGTATCGTCTGTTCAGTTCTGTAGTTAACCAAATTATGGTGAAACTCTTTGACGGGAGATCTTTACATAACCTCAAAAATGTATGAAGTAAATTGACTGACACTACTATGATTCTCAGTCTGTTATATGCAAATTACAGAAT